CTAACATTTGTCATGTCAAGTGCTGCAATGTGGCAGTGTCATTGGAAGGCTTTCATTTAATTGTCCTGTGTTGAAAAGACCTGCTGGAATCAAGTCAACCTTATTGGTGCATAGTTGTCTACCACCTATAAAGCGTATTTACATTTCTCTGTTAGTTATGCAAAGATACCTTTACCCCAATGATCAATATTTCTCTTAGCTCTATGTTATAGAACCTACATCTGATAGCTAAACTTTTTATATGTAAATGACATCAATTCACTCTCTTTTCTCTTTCACATACTTCATTTTTAACTGATCTGTATAATGTTGTGTACAATAATATACAATGTATAAATAGTGTGAAGCAGAAACCTTGATAACAGATATATAAACCCTAACAAGAATGTATAACAAATTTTTGAAACTCTAATAGTGTTAACTTGAATGATGCCAGTGCGAGGTTTAGTATGGTACCACCAACGGCAGGTCTGTGGTGTGGCAAGATTTAATTTTTTTGAACAGTTTCTGCTGGACAGATACTTTGAACATTGGAAGAGTTGGCGTATGCATAACGACATTGGAAAAGTCTTTTAATTCCCTTTTGATGTACAATTAACCTGCCATAATAGCTAAGTTTACTCTCTTTCAAATATTAAACTTGTGGGAAGGAAAAAAAAAAACAGGAATGATTTAACTGAAACCTAATTAGTTCTCTCTAAATATCTTGTAATTTTTTCCTTTGCTGATAATGATTCATTGGGGTAGTCTTTGCATTGATTTTGTGCTTGCCAGTCTAATAATCCAGCACACTTATGTGTACCCAGAACTTCTATTGTTACAGTAAGTTAAAATTGGACAAGTTACACTGGACAGATATGTGAAAAAAATATGCACCAAGTAAAGCAATCAAGTAATCTCCTGAGTCTTCTCTTATGGTTTATCAAAGTAAGTACTGAAAATTCTGGCATGGTTTTCTTTTTAAAATGAAAATCAAAGTGCTAATATTTCAATCTCTCCTGAAGATGACAGATCCTGTAGTGTTTTTCCAGACAAATTGATAGTTTAATGTTTTAGGATGTTATTTTATTGCATTTGGCAATATATATATATTTTAATTATCAGAGGAAGAAATTTTAGGAAGTTAAATGTTTTATAGTTTTGTATAAGGTTGTAGTAACAAAATTAATGCTTAACAGTATTAAATTAATATAGATTTGAATTCAGTTTAAGCTACAGTGTAAAATGAAAGACAAGCCCTTTGATCAATTTGCAATTTCTTTCATGTGATCTCTGCGAATTTCTTGTTCTAGTGGTGGTTAGATTGTCCTTGTCCATCATGCTACAATTATAGTTTTCCTCCATAAATCCTGAATTTTATTGTGTGCTGCTTTCTTGTCTTCTGTGTAAAATTTTGTGAGAAATTGCCAGTTGATCAATGTTGTCCAAGTCTCAATTTGTCAATAGCTGTGTAAAATGTTTGTAATCAGTATTCAGTTGTAATATTCTGGTATACTAATGCTTAAATTTTAAAGAATTCAATTTCCATTCTTGAAAACTTGACAAGTGGCTGAAAAGGATGGTTTAAGTGGTAACTTGTCCAGAATTTTTTTCCCCAATTATGAGCCCACTCTTCTATAATAATATTGATAAAGCATGCACAGTGTAAGTCAGAAATGATAGTACTATCAACTTAACATAAACTTACTTGAAATTTCATCTGGAGTAGCCATAACAGTTGTCAACCCATGCAGCTTTTGCATGTGCGTATCTTTGTAAAAGTAACTTGTCATGTACGACAGAACTAAATCTTGCCAAATTCTGAATTACCCCAGGTTTTCCTGAGAATTTTTGCCATAAAGTTTCTTATTTTGCCCTCATTTTCAGATTGTTTTTTATTTCTTGCCATCTCTTCAGCCATTTTTCTCGTTTTCAGTGTCCAGACATATAGATATTTATTTATTTTGTATGTGGAAAACAAGTTTCAAGATGTGCACAGTTTAATTTTTCTAAATAATATCAAGTATTAGTCTGGTGTTTTAGACATTTAATATGAATCTTGCCTACAATTTGAACTAACAACTTCATCTAACAACAGCTTTTGTGTAAGAATGCATCCGAGACTGAGTGTAATAATTTGTGATGTTTGTGACTAGTATTTTTATTGCAAGGCAAACAACAAACTTGTGTAAATGTTAAAAATTGAAGTTATTCTTCTATCTTGCCAGTTCAATGGATAATGATGCAGTACACATAAGTGTTGACCAAGTTTTCAAAGTAACAGTAATAATATTAATATTAAATTAATATTTAAGTTGATTAAGTTAATAGTACTTGTCAAATGGGATAATGCTTAGGCGTATGTAACTATACTAAATGTAAGATCATTATCTCTAAGAACCTTTAAGTGACAATCAAATGCATTTAACCCTTTAACTCCCAAGATCTGGTAGTTAATTCTCCCCTGTAGCTTTTGCACATTTCCTTCTTGATAAGTTAGGAGAATTTAATGTTATATAAAGATAACTTCTTGATAAGTTTCAATTTTCTCTTTACCTGTTTGCTGGTTAATGCATGGTATTGTAAGGAGAAGCTAGATGCTAATCAATTCTGGGAGTTAAAAGGTTGGAAATGTTACATGTGGCAAACTTTTGCATCTGGATCTGTGTGTGCATGTAAATTTTTTGGATGGTAAACAAATGTTCTGAATTAATTTTAAAATTCTCATGGTTTTGGGGAAGGAACCTCCCAGTGAGACAAGTCGAAGTAGGAATCAATTAATTATTACAGATTTACTTTAAGAAATTAATGTTAGCTCACTAACATACATGTAGTAGCTAAGTGAGGAATTAAGGGGTGGTATAGAAGTCTCTCTATCTCACTGCTGCCACAGTGTTTAACAATTGTGCACGCATAGTGTTTTGAACTACTTTTTGTGTCTGCTAGTCATGGTTATGAAGTAAGACTGAGTAGAAGTTTTGAGTTGCCACTAGTAGCATGAATTATTTATTTCATGGTAAAATAGCCCAATATACTGTATTTGTGACAAAACCTAAACCTAATATTCCCACAAGCTTAACCCTTTAACTCTTAAGATCTGGCTGTCAGTTCTCCCCGATAGCTGCTGCACATTTCCTTATTAATTAGTTGCAAGAGTTTTATCTTAGATCAAGATAACAACTTGTACCTGACAAGTTTGAGTATTGTCATTACCTGTTTGCCGGATGATATATGGATATTTTAGGGAGAAGTTATATGTTGATCACTTGTGGGAGTTGAAAACTTGACACCAATTCCCCCACTGTCTTCCTTACGTGTCTTATCCCCTTGTTGATATTTCTCTATCTTCTCACAATTTTCGTGGTGGCTATTAATTTGATATTTAAAGGAAAAACTACCTTTCAGTTACTCCCGGCTTTTTGAAAAGGTTTATTTAATTCTTTATTCTCTAATTCCCAAAGGTTTCTTGCACTTTATCTTGCAAACAAGTTATCCAAATTTGCAAATATTCAACCCTTCACACCTTCTCATTGATATACATATTCTCCATACTGTTCTCTATGCATTTAGCAAGGTGCCGACGAGGAAAATTTGTGTAACAATCAAAAGCTGTTTAAGGGATCATCTCCTTCAATCTCGTTACCTTATTATGGTTTAGGGATGATATTGTAAAGAAATGTTAGATGCCAGTCACTATTTTAAGGGTTAAAGGGCAAGAGAATGTATAGCAGCTGGAAGGGAGAGTTTCATATCTGATAATACGAGTTTCGGTGTTAATTTGTCTATATTAGGTTTAACATCTTGGTTTTTCACTTAAATATCTGGTGCAGATCTTAGATTTATTTTTAGATTCGAAGGCTATGCGCTCACGATTGTTATGTAGATAGCTTCTGTTTCTCCCCCAAACCAGCTGGTCTGTGTTTGTTGTGCCGTAAGGAACTTCAGTGATGTGCTTCTGAATATTTTTGTCATCATTGTTATTGTTGGTTCGATGCATGACATAGCCAAATGTTATTTGTCTTTATTTAATTTAATTAAAAAGATTACAATTAATTGATGGCGTTTAAAATTGTCCTCGGAAATATTTGTCGATAATTTTCGGCCTGCATGTTCTGGGAAGATACATGTCGTAATAAATGTCAAGTTTTATGTTGTTATTGGGTTGTCAAATTGATTTTTTGTCAGATCTGATGTAGAAAGTGGGCACAATGTAGCTCAGTGCTGCGACTTGATTATATTACCAACAAATTTAGGCTGGAACCTGATAAAGATTATAACAACCCTTTCGATTAACATACGAGAAGATATAAGTTGGAAAAAGCGGAGGAACTGAATATCGCCAATAGCGTTATGAAACGACCCAAGAACGATACCGGAAACAAGGAAACACAGAATTGACGCCAGATTATCGATTTTTTTCGGTTAAATGCCGAACATTATTTGGTTTCTACATGTAGCGTTTCTCAAAAATACACATATTTTTAGTCTAGCGCGGATGCATGCGTCTATCGTAATTCCAATTTTGTTACTTTCCTTCTTTTATCTTTATTCAATTTTTTTAATGTAAACTCCTCCCTGCTCAAACCCTTTTGCGAAGTAACAATTCATGCACCGGCTTATAATTTTTTTAACTTTCTTTGAAAGTCTTGGCAGACTATGCTATCGTTTGGACCAAACTATGTAATTGTAATTAGATGATATGGTTTTATCAACTGAGTTGATGATGCAAATAGGCCACCGTTAGGATTTTTCACTTTACTCTTTACGGCCAATTTACATTATCAACTCAACTGATAAAACCAAATTATCTTGTTATACTCCCTCACCGATGCAGCACCACAGTTTCTTAGGAAATTTACCCCTTTAGTTTTTTCTACTAAATGCGCGATTCTCCGACGGCCCAGTTCCTCGCAGCCACACACTCGGGTTTTTCCCCTGACTGAAGGTACATGGTTTTCAAGATGCATTATTACCCCCTCCTACCTCCTTTCCCCCCCCCCTCCCCCTCTCGTTCCCTTATATTCCTCTTTAAAAAAAATTTGGAAATGCTGCTTCTTGGTTAAATTTTGCAAACGAGTGTATCAGGCATCGAATAAACGTCGTTATGAAATGCTATACTCCGCTTAGCTCGTGAGGTCCGTTTTTATTGTTGACTAAAATATTAATGTCATCATGAGAAAAGAATGATCATATATGGTGATATCCCTTTGCTCTATTCCTTGCAAACCGTCTTCCTTCCAACTCGTTGTCCACAAGGTATCCTAACTAAACAGTGAGTCAAAAGGGGTTGTTGGGTTGATCAACTTCAACTTAATATTTAGAGGTCTTTTTAAATGTCCGTTTAGATACTTAGAATAAACATGCGAGCGAGTTCCGAGGACCTTTGTTTTTTTTTCCAAAACGTTCCCTTCATATATGATCTTAACTTGTCCAAGCTTTCTCTATTGGGTGACTTTATTATTCCATTTTTGCAAGCGAATCACCTTTAACTTAAGTCCTCGATTGTTGTCTTTTTTTGATACGTACCTCATTTCAGGAATAGATCATCTTCTTGCAACGGTTTTCAGAGGTCGCTCTTTCCTTTAACTTGTTGGCTTATTTCGAAAGCGTTAATTGCTGTCTTAAGTTGAATTTCCGCCGAAGTTCCATTCTGAGGTCATTTTGGCTCCTACTCGTGTTCCTTATTTAGTCAGCTCGTCGAGACATCGTTCATGATCCTCTTCTGAGTTAACATTGGCAGTAATAACGTGTTCTTTTTTTTTTTGATGGCTCGGTGAAATGTTTCTAAGATTTCCATTTAGCAATGACAGTGGTGTTCGTGATCCTTCCCCGGCCCCCGTGTCCTGTATCCACCCCATCCTAAATGGCGTGTTCGCGGTAGTCTCAGTCGTTTGCGCTTGGTAACCTCCCCAAGTGAGGGCAGACATGCGAAAACCGCGTGATACCATCGCGAAGGCCACGATTACGTGACATTTGTGTCTTTAATTGAATACCAATCGATCTATGTAGACAGATTGAGTAAAGGATAATCGGGGGTAAATCTCGCATCTCTCTCTACGTTACTGAGCGACAATGCGATTCAATGACTTAGTCGCCGGCTGTGTTATGGTCATTTACATTTTGATTGTTGTGGAATGGTCGGGTGCTTTGGAGATCCGAGTTTCAACCGCCACCGGACATGATAACAAATCTTGTCTACTTTCGAGCGCCTCGGGACCTTGTAAAACGGTCGGATTTGCTCTAAATGCCATGGAGGATGAAGAGAACCACAATCAAACATTCTTTATTTTTCGGATCGAAGATCACATTTACTCTTTGGACAAACGGATCAACATCAGTCAAACCAACCCAAGGAGAGGTATTGTTCTGCAATCAAGTCACGCAAATGGATCCATTATTAGATGCACAGATGTCTCTGCTGGATTTGATATCGGATCTCGAGTTACTCAAATCAGACAAGACAAGACAAGAAATATCAGCATAGAAAACCTCAAATTTCAACAATGTGGCCCTCGCTTCGCCGCTACTGTCCTCATATGGAATTCTGTGAAAATAAACTTCAGGAATTGTGTATTTGAACATAACAAACAGGCTGGGATAAACGCCTTTGATAGCGAGGTTACTATAGAAAGTTGTATTTTCCAAAATAACACTTCAAATGGACGTAATTCCAGCGAGAAGTTTAAAGAAGGGTTTACCTCGGCCGGTGGTGCAGCAGGATTTCTGTTTCGAACTTCAGTTTCTCTTTCTGTGGTAATAACAAATTCAACTTTCACCTTCAACTCGGCCGTGACGAATGATTCAGTATCGTATATTGCACCTTCATCAAATGTCTCGCACTTCACTGCAGGAGGTGGGGGTCTTCTAGTTGTGTTCTTGAAGAAGACTGAACACTGTCGTGCTGTGATAGAAGACTCTAAGTTTTCGAACAACTCGGCAACGTATGGAGGGGGATTTTACTTTGCCGACTCTAACTCGGCGTCGAAAAACAACTTGTCGATAATTGGCTCGCATTTTGTGAGAAACAGAGCCGGACAAACCGGAGGGGGGCTGATATTCTCCCAATGGGACAATGCGTCTAGCATCACAAGTGTCATCAGAAACTGCACCGTGAAAGAAAATAAGGCGAGGAGAGGAGCAGGGGTTAATGTTTTTCTCATGAACTATGATGACAAACCGAACGACTCCGTGTTGAGGTTTGATAATGTGGTGTTTAGTGACAATAAGGGCGATGCCAGTACAGCGATTCGCTTCACCACTGCGCTTCCGTATGGAAGCACTATGGATGTTACCCCCGAGTTTATAAACTGCAAGTTTGAGAATCACAATATGTCGAGTATTGCACGTACTAGTCCGTTCACAAGTCAAAGGGTGAACGTAAGGTTTCAGGGAAGCAACATTTTTCAGCGCAACTATGGTGGAGGCGCAGGAAGTTTTCAGGATTGCGTTTTACATGTGGAGGGACAGCTGGTTTTTGCTAACAACACGGGGTCCCATGGAGGAGCGTTGTTCCTGCAATCTAGTCAAATGATACTTTACCCCGGAAGTGAACTCATGTTCTTAGGAAACAAAGCCAATGGAATCGGCGGCGCGATACTTGTATGGGAAAACATCATGAGCGAGTTTATACACGAGTTTAATCCTAACTGTTTCCTGGCTTATAGTGACTATCACCTGCCCCCATCGAAATGGAAGGTAAGCTCTTGAAACTATGAATTTTTTGTCATTCAAGTGTATATCACATTCTAAATTTAGTTGAGTCTGTTTTATACCTCTTTCCTTTTAGACCAACGTATCCTTTATCGAGAATAGCAGCAGGATAAAAGGAGCAGCTATTTATATCTCCTCTCTTCAAAGATGCGTGTGGATTGAAGAGGCTCCGTACCACGATCCGCAGAAAGCTCTCCGCTGGTCTAGTAATATTTTGTACAGAAATAACTCGCTTGTTTTCGACGGTGTCCCACACGTCTTCAGTGGAACTGAGTATGATATTGCCACAGACACAAAAAATTACAATTCGACTTTGGGAGATAATTCTACTGTGAAGGTATAATCTATGGTTTGTGCTGTAAACTTTAGCAAGACATCTTGTTCTCTCTTTCACCCAGGAGTATGAATGGACGAGGGGCGAGGGGAAACTGTCAGCGAAATGCTGAAAGTGGGCAAGGGATGGGGGGGAGGGGGGGGGGGGGGGGGGGGGGGGGGGGGGGGGGGGGGGGTGAGACACCCCTCTATCGACTAGAATCCCTTTCAGGGAATAGTAGCTTGCTTCATGCCATATTTGGAACCCAAATAAATTCTTACAGGATGACCCTTTTAGCTCGTAAGCTTTACTTTACGTCATGTTTCTCATCGGAGGTTACTGAGTTAATTGTTTTGTCTATGCCATAACTGTTTCTTTGTCTTTTCGTCTTTCCTTTCATTCATCTATCTAGCTACACCCATCTTCCCCTTCTAGCCCGCTCCTTCCTTACTTGCGTCCCTTACCCTCTCCCCTACATGCCTGCTTGTTACTTACCCTGCATTCTTCGATGTCCAATTTAGTGTTACCAAACCGATGAAATTTTCGTAAATATCCCAACAAACTAGGTCTTGTTTTCTTTTGATCTCCCTATCAGCTCGCTCCAGGTCAAAAGTTTCCTTTGAATCTGCAAGGGGTTGATGAACTTGGACACAGTGTGTATACGACTGCTTTTGTGGCTGAAGAAGGCAGCTCTGACAACACATCAAAATTGATGCTCAGTAATGTACTGTACGTGCTCTCGCCTAACAAATCAAGTACTGTATCGTTTTCGTTCAATGCCCCTGAGACAGTTTACAACGAAGCACAAAGCAGAGGTGAAAAGAATAGGCGAAGGATTCAGTTTGTGGATATCTTTTCTACCTTACCAAATGGATATTCCTTTGAAATGGAGCTTCAAATGTGTCCGCCTGGATTTAATTTCAACAAGGACACTAAAGCGTGCGAATGTGATAGGAAACTTCCTGGCATTTCGAGGTGAGAACTAAAAGTGAAAAGCCGAAAATAAGGTCAGCAGGTTTTTGTTGCTATGATGTACTACGTTCGTTAATTGTATTATGGTTTTGCTTGTGATCTACCCACCTTCTCCCCAACTGACTGACCGACCGACCGACTGATTAACGACTGACGATTAACTGACCAACCGGTAGACCAGTGAACCGACAAACCGATCAACCTTCCGACCAAAGGCTGACTGACCAGTAACCGACTGACCGACCGACGACTGACAGGCTGACTTAAAAACCCCGACTGATTAACGACTGACGACTAAGTGACGACCGGCAGACCGACGAACCGACTAATCAACTGACTAAATGACCGGCTGACTGAATGAGAACCTACTGACTTATCGACTGATCTAGTGACTGACAGACCGACCGACGACTAACTGGCTGGCTGACTGACTGATCACCTGACTTACTTCCTCTCTGACCGACTTAGAGAGTGTATAACTTCAAAACCGAGTATTCCATTTTTCGTTTGTTTGTTTATTTTTTCCGTTAACTTCAGATGCGAGAATGGACATACTGTTTATTTGAAAGAGGGATACTGGGCGAATGTAACTGAAAATGGTACCCTGGTTACCTACTACTGTCCATACAAGTATTGCAAGTGTTCACATGTCGGCGAACTACCTGGATGTTTATTCGATCCAGCCAACAGTATTGCTCAATGCGCAAAGAACCGCGAAGGCTGGCTGTGTGGTAAATGCTCTGGAAATACTAGCGTGGGGTTAAGGTAAAGTTTTCTCAGCAAATGTTCTCCCACGAGGTATATTTCCAGACCGGACCATAGTTGAGTTGCAGAAGGCCAACGGCCAAAGAAAACTACCTGAAATCTCGCAAGGGGCCACTTTTACCTCAGAAAGACACGTAACTGGATTTAAAAGTGGAAGAAAGGCAAGCGACCATGTCGCGATTTATTTCAGCTTTGCATCTGATTGGTTGAGAAAGTATCGCAAATTTTTTAAATTAGGCGCTCAGCGCGCAGAGCAAAATCATCGCAAACTCTTATTGATTTTGACATCCAACTTAAAAATTGATTCGAAGTTTCAAATTCTCTAGGATCATTGGTAAGTCAGTTTGATATAAACTGGGTAGCATTATTACGGTTAACTACCTTACATTCTATTTTTATAGATGGAACGAGTGCGTCGATTGTCCCTATCCAGGATGGGTATTGGGCGTGGTTATACCTCTTGTCATGGCCTTGTGTGTTCTCATCATTTGGCTCAATCCCGGTATATCTAGCGAGTTAAGAGGACCTCTGTACTTCTTCCAAGTTCTCCCTTGCATATTCGACCCCACCAGCCAATTTGGGAGTCACATCTTCCTTTTAGCGGATTTATTCAACTTTGGAGGGCCGTTAGTCTATCTGACGAAGACATGTATTGTAAGAGAAATTAATAATCTGTACTCAATTGCCTTTGGGTACTTGGTTCCTTTTCTGGCTCTGTTGATATTCCTGTTTGCTTATCTATTGAGCATTAACTATTGCCTCAGGTTTAAATTTCGCCAACGTTCGATGCTCAAATCTTTTTGGCTTCTTGTTGTGTTCATCTACAACTATTGTGTCGAGACGTCGTTTCTGATCTTGTTTTGTCCAAAAGTTGGTGACAGTCACGTATTCTTCTATGATGGAACCGTGGAATGTTTCTATGATGACCATTTGCCAATGGCAATCCTCGCTATCCTCGTGCTTGTGTTCCTTGTGATCCCCCCACCGATCATGGTTTTTCTTCTGACCAATGGGTATTGGAGGGTGGATCCTCAATACCTGAATACACTGACAAGCGGTCTGCGCCCTGAGCGCCGTTGGTGGTGGTCAGTGGATTTGTGTCGAAGAGTTCTCGTGGTTGGTACTTACGCGTTCGTCCCAAACTGGCAAACAAAGAAGGTAGGGCTATGGAAAATGAACGATATCTCGAAAGAAGATTTATTTTAAAAGTAATTCCATGTTCTTAAACCTTTCGCTCCCAAAATCTCACTAGTAATTCTCCTTATAATATTGTGTGCTAAACAATTCTTTTGATTTTAGTTCAGATTGTTTGGTACTGGATAACTAACAATCCCCAAGCTAATTGATATTCTACCTTCCCATCACATAAATGGTCGTGGACGATGATATTCTGTCTTGCTATGGTTTCTTTAATTGTGATGCTTAAGTGATGAGTTTTTCTGGATCATTGTCAGCATCTGAGCAACTGCGCCCCTACCCCTCCCCTCCCCTAACTCAACATTAGCCTTAATTTGCTTTCAGTGGACTTGTTGATGAGTAAGGGGAGGGGTTGATGCGAAGTTGCTCTGATACTGGAATTGATCCGTATTAAGAAAATTGATTAATTGATAATATTGATTAATTATTAATTATAAAATAATTAATTAATTAATTATATTAATTAATAAGTAATCTTAAATCCGTATTTCTCTACTTTTTCCTCCCAGATTCTTATGATTTTGATGTGCGTCTTGATCTTGGCCGTCCACAGTAACTTTCAACCTTACTTGAAACCTCGTGTTAACTTTACAGAGTCTGTCTATTTACTGGTTCTGGCCACTCTAGCTATTATGCAAATTGTTGAAGGTGAAATGGCTAGGTACGGCGTGTCCTTAGGTTTAGTGTTCACGGTGGCACTTCATGCACTTGTGGTAACTGTTTATAAGGGTGTGCGATTCTTTCGTAAGCGTTTCGAGATCGCTTGTGCAAGAAGGGGACTTGAATCAAATACAATACACAGAGACTATGACCAGCTGGAGGACACAGAGATCGATCAGAACAGTTTGGACGCAGAGAGAGAAAGACAGAGGAACATTATGGACACGATATTTAACTCCCCCTCTGAAGGCGCAGATCATGGTCAGTGGTAGATTTTGAAGAACAAATTATAAACTTTTAGCAAGCTTTCTTTCCTACTCAGGTTGAGCAGGTTGAAACCTGCCCCCCCCCCCCCTTCTCCGCGTGTCATGTATTTTGTCACGTAATTCTCTGGCTCTCCAATTTAGAGAGAAACTTCAGCGTAATGACTTTATGTCGTTCACTTACCATCTGTTCAAAACCCCGTGTTTTTGTCTCAGCGCGCTCTAGTGCTGGAGGACACTTTCGTCAACAACAATTGGGAACTTGGCGACTTTGATAACAAGTTATTAATAGAAGGATATATTACCCAAGTCTATGATTAGTAAACTACTTCAAACAAAAAGAAAGGAAGGTTTTGACGACTGCGTTTGTTACATAGGCGAACAGTATTAGTGTTGAAAAGTAACTGAGTACATATTTTTGTGATGAGTTCTATGTAACCAAGCAATGCATTTCATGCATTATCCTTCTTTTATTTCCTCCTAGATTCAGATTAAAGACGCTTAAAGAAAGTTCATGGACCTTGCAAGGGTTGTCTGATGTTTGCGCACTAATCAGGAGGACCGAGCTGAAATTATCTTCACGTTATCTAAGGGAACGGTCATTATCCACCCCCTGGGGGTGGGGGGGGGGGGAGTTTGGATCGGAGGATTTTGGTTGTGTCAGAGTAAAAATTTACCTGATCCCCAATCCCCTTCCATGAGGCTCTGAAATGTTCATATGATGGCAATGAATTGTCAGTCAATTTTTTATAGTCCTCCCTTTCTCTTCTATTCACAACGACTGATTTTCCCTTTATTCCCCTTGAAAACCATGTGATCTCCCTAAAAAATCGTCCGACCCCTCCCTCCCAGGAAACAAATAATGATGGTCCCTAATTTGAAAGGCTAACCAGAATATGATTCTCAACTTTTCATGGGTGGGGATTTATATCCCCCGTTTGCAACTGACGCCTGAAATGAGGGTTTCATGGATTTTGTTTTGACCGTTGGCGATTACTCTAGTTAGCCTTATTAAGAACTTTGAGTAGGTGAAGTAAAAACTGTTCAAAAGAATTAAAATATTTGCCCTTAGGGCTGTTGCACTAATTTTCTGTCATACTTTCAGTTCTTTTCGACATTTCAAATGTACTAAAGTAATGAAGCTGGGTAAATTTTATGGATAAAGTACGATGTGAGGCTTTCATAGCATAGATGTAAATGTCATAGATGTTACAGAATGCAATGAGTTTTGGTCAAGTCCTAGAGTGTGAGAACGATCCATAACGTAAAACGATACGAAAGAAGATCGATGATCCCACTAGATCCATTGACACAATGTCACTGGGCGACACTGAATATCAATCAGGCATCTCATCTCAATTTACTTAGCGTTAGAAGTTAACTTGAATAAAAGCATAAGTTGTATTTTATTCACTCGCATCTGAAAACGAATAATTACCTCCTCTTCAGGGTAAAGTATTTCTCACACGCTCAATTTTAACCCCCCGTGATCGGAATATCAATTCTCTGTTCTGACTCTTACACGAATTAAGTTATGTAATATACTTTGACCTTTACTTAAAACTCCGGATGATAATTAACCCTTTACACCCTAACATCAGTATACACATTCTCCATACTGATCTTTACGTTTCCTTACGTGCTGGTAAGGAGAATTTGTTCAACAATCAAGGGCTTCTTAAGTTGGTGATCATTTCCTTTATTCTTATGACCTTAATGTGTGATTCTGTGCTGATAATGTAATGAGAAATTTGATGCTGGTCACTTTTAGGGGGCAAGGGGTTAAAGGAATAATACCCTAACCATGTCGGATCAGTATCAGTATCTTGGCAACTACCCACCTACCCCTCCCCTAACCCAACAACAGTCAATTGATAACAAGTTAGGGCGAATGTTGGGTTAGGGGAGGGGTAGGTGCGCTGTTGCCCAGATACTGATATTGATCCCCCATGACTATGTTTAACAAACTACTTAAAACAAAGAGAACGGAAAAACTTTTTGATGACTTCATATGCCATGTGATTGAACGGTATGAGCGTTGAAAAGCATCCATCAACATTGAATTGAACGTAACCGTGTAAAAAATATCTAGAGAGAGTTCTTCAATAACTACTCACTCTTACGGGTCAAAGGTTAACCCTTTACACCCTCACATCATTATGCATATTCTCCATACTGTTCTCTATACATTTCCTTGGTTCTAACAAGGAGAATTTGTAAAACCATCAGAAGCTTCTTTTGTTGCTGATCATTTCCTTTATCCTCATGACTTAAACCTTTTATTCAGGGGTCATATTGTAAGGAGAAATTAGAACCTTGTCACTCTTAGGGATGTTAAAAGAAGATATGATCCTCGAATCTTCAGTGGGCTGCCAATGAAGAACAGGAGCCTCTCCTCTGTCTGTAAGAATCAGTTGCGTTGATGTCATTCGGGAAAATTCCTCCCTTACACCTCGGAGTTAAAGTCCCACTAAACTTTTAGAACTAATTCAAGATTTATCCATCGTACCAGTTTTTTAAAATATAATCGTGTTCCAGACCTGCACGGTTCATGTTATTTTCATAACCCAATCCGGAAAAACTTAAATTTTGACAATAATTCCAGCCATATCAATTCCCGTTCTCATCTTCAGATTTATCAAATATCGTGTCAAAAATGTCCTTGCGCCGTCTCTGAGCTTCATCAATAGATCTGTCGATAGCTGTCTCCCCCATTGAACCGTAATTGCGTTGGCTGGGACACGGTTTTGGACATAAACACTTGAATCTCCTCTCGAAGAACCCTACAGCTTTGTAACAAGTCAATCCCCCGGCATGCAATGTGGTAATTATCATCAGGAAGGAACAAACAATATCAGGGATATAATCGGACTCCTGTAAGATCTGCATAATGGCGATCACACACAGGATATAAAGGTACAGCGACTCCACCACATTGACTCGTTTCTTCCTGTATGGTTGAAACATGCTGTGTACAGTCAGGATGAAGGCGCAAATGATAATCGTGACAACCTAAATGACCAAACATAAAAACTAATTTGAGCGATTTATGTTCACTGTAATCACAGCGAGAGTTTTTTACGCCGACGTTTCGAGCGTTAGCCCTTCGCTCTGATTCAAAAAGAGCTTTACGTCTTTATGATAGTCAATTCACATTATCAACTCAGTTAACCCTTTAACTCCCAGATCAAATTTGTAATTTTCCTTTCTGTCAACCATACTGTTCTTATAATGTTTGTTCAGAGAATTTAGTATTAAATCAACTATTTATCGCCAACTTTATATTTTTCTTTATTCTCATCACTTATCTGGTTGATATTGCATCGATATTGTGGGGAGAAATTCTGTCTTGGTTCTTCATGGGAGTTAAAGGGTTAATAGATCCAAATTATCTTGTAATACCCCCCCCCTACCCCCCCTACCCCCCCCCCCCTTCCCCCACCGACGCAGCAACATAGTCTCTTTTGAAGCTTACTCCCTTTATTCGGATCAATATCAGTATCTGGGCAACAGCCCACCTACCCCTCCCCTAACCCAACATTAACCCTAACTTGTTATCAATAGACTGTTGTTGGGTTAGGGGAGGGGTAGGTGGGTAGTTGCCCAGATACTGATATTGATCCCTTTATTCATCTAGAATCATAACAGCCCAACAGCCCATCGACATAACAGTACTACTACTACTGCTACTGCTACTGCTACTGCTACTGCTACTGCTACTGCTACTACTACTAATAATAATAATAATAATAATAATAATAATAATAGTAAAACATGCAAACGACATTTTGTGTGTGAAAATGTGCGAATGAATTTCAGGAACGATTTAGTTCATATCTGATTGGTGCATACATGAGGCACCAAACTTTAATACAGGTTAGAGTTAGATCTTGACCTGTGAGTTGACGTCACAAGCTAAAATGAGGATGGGAAAATGTGCACGTATCGCTTTTCCTCTTTTAGTCAATGCAAACAAATGAAATACTTGTTAGCAAGGATACTCCAGACAAGTCAAGAGACTAGACCAAAGTATTCCTTTGTAGGTTGCAGACGATTAGTTACTTCCATGTTATTTACCATCCGCCTCAAATTGTGCTGCTTTCTAAGGGCCATGTATTTATGGATTCGGCTTAAAAAGTAGACCCCAATTCTTGCAACGACCGAACAAGTATTCCGTTATGATTGAGTCTTTAGTTCTAGAACTTTCATTTTTGTGGCAACATGACAATTGTCATATCAAACGCGTTTTTTTTTTTTTCAGTGTTTCCCAATAGAAATGCGAATAACAATGGTTGCGTAGTGCCTCAATGTCCGATTAAAGCATCGTGATTTCTTCAATATGAATAGATTTCCGTTTAAAAATCATATTTTGTTAATGACACTCACCTGCTTTGTGAACCAATGAGGAATGAACGAGTAACTGAACAGCAACAACAACCTCCGAAACATATCCACTGACCACCACCATCTACATTGCGGGCGCAGACCAGTGATAAGCGTGTTGACATACTGTGGGTCAACCTTCCAATAACCTTTAGTCAGGATAAGCACAACCACAGGCAGGGAAATAACGAAGCCAAACAGAACCACGAATGCAACTACGGTCATTGCTAAATGTTCCCCTCGGAAGCACTCCACGTTACCATCGTAAAAGAAAATCAATTTCCCACCAACTTTGGGGCAGTTCAGCAACATGAAAGACGTAACGGCGAGATAGTTGTACACAAAAAGTGTCATCAGCCAGAACGACTGTAGGCTCGAATGTTTACGAAGTTTGAATCTCACGAGGTAAAAATTTGCGCTTAGAATGTAAGATATAATAAAGACGAGAAGAGTAACAAGCGGCATCAGGTATCCCATGGCAACAGCGAACAAATTCGTCATCCCTTTTACAATACAAATGTGCGTGAAGTATAAGAAAGGGCCGCCAAAGTTGAGTATGTTTCCGACAGAAATTACTACCCGCCCGACATGATTGTTTGGTTTGAAGATGAAAGGGAGGACCTGGAAGAAAAACAGGGGTCCTCGAAGCTCGCTAGACAGGCTGGGATTGAGTATAATGATGATGACGCATACAACGACAACGGCGATGACGGAAATAACAATAATCCAATAAGCACCGTCACACTGAAGACACTCTGCCGATCTGAAAGATAAATACAAAGATAAATAACTGTGGGCTCATTGAAGCGACAAGGAGCATTGGTACTCCTCTTGAACGAGATGCATTTCTGTTAGTTCGTATGCTTGCTCTCTCAGCTATAAAAAGATCAACCCACACTTACAATAATTCCGCAGCAATGATCATAGATATCGAGATTTAACCACCTTCTACAAGCCAACTGAAGTAGGTGTAAATAATAGAATATGGTCAGTAGAATGCATATGGTTTGAACTTACCTTAGACCGACACTAAGGCCTTGCTGACATTTGCCACAGAGTACCCCTGTCCTGTTATGGTTACACTGATTATCGACATACTTCGGTTTGAATACACATCCGGGCAAGTCGCCATCTCGCTCGCAGCGGCAGTAATCAGGAGGACAGAAGTACGTTACCAGGCGACCATTGACTTCTCCTCCCCACTGCCCCTTTTTCAAGTAGATTGTACCGTCATCGTCATCACATCTGTTATCAAAGTCGGTAAGTTTATAGAAGCGAACATTGTCAGTCATGGAAAGGTTAATATTCTTTTATAACCCTTTCACTCTCAAGATCTGATTGTTATTCTCCCCTCTAGCTGCTACACATTTCCTTGTAAATTAGTTACAAGAATTTGGTGCTTGATCAAGATGACAATTTCCTCCTGATAAGTTTGAGTATTCTCAATACCTAATTCCTGGATAAAGTGTGAATTTCATAGGGAGGGTATTTGTTTATCACTTGTGGGAGTTATAGCGTTAAACACATGTCACAGCGGGGGTCCGAAATGCTTGAGAATCCAATCAGCAAACTAACCAACATGTAATGAGTGCCTTTCAGAGAATATCAAAGTCAGTATCTGGGTAACTGCACACTTACTCCTCCCTTAACCCAACTACAGTTAACTGATAACAAGTTAGGGTTAATGTTGGGTGGGAGGGGGGGTAGGTGCGTGGTTTGCTCAGATACGCAGATTGAACCCAAATACGGACTCAAAGTTAGTAAAAACACAAACACTGGAAAGCCTTCACCTTTGCACACCCTCGATCGTTTTGTCACATTTGCACTTTGTCCCTTCAAACTTGAATCCTGGTTTGCAAGGAACTGCGGTCACGTTAAACATGTATCTGTTCTTGAGTGTTGAAAAGATGTCTTCCAACTGAAAATGATGTACTGACTTATTTTTCACCTCATTGTATACAGTTCTGTTGGCCAGCTGATACGTTAACGGTAAAGATTGCTTGGTGACGGGAGACAACAGATGCATGACGTTATCCAGTTGAAGTTTGGGTTCAGTGTCAGAGATACCCGTTTCAGACAAAGTCGCAATGGTGAAGATGGTGTGGTTTAGTTCATCGTAACCCTGGATGTTAAGGGACACATCCTCGCCTGGTGAGAGCTGGAACAAGCAGGAAAAATAACATCACTTACTGACTTTAGCATGGCCTACAGGAAGCACGCGCTTCGGTTTGTAGAAAAAAGCTAGAACTGATAGCGCAGCATGTCATGTCTTGAAGGCGAGAGCCGGACACAAGAGTCCGGAATCGGACACCAGTATCTTTAATCGGACACTGGTGTCTAAGAACGGACACTAGTATCTAAAGTCGGACACTAGGACACAAGTGGACTGGAATGAATTTCGTCTTCGCACAGCTTTGAAGTTGGGACAAAGTTTTGCCTAAATTTTATACTTTAAGCCTTTTAACTCTTTAACCCCTAAGAGTGACTAACATCTAATTTCTCTCTACAATATCACCCCTGAATCAAACATTAAGGTCATGAGAATAAAGGAAATGATCACCAACTAAAGACGCTCTTGATTGTTAAACAAATTCTCCTTATTAGCACCTTAAGAAATGAATGGAGAACAGTATGGAGAATGTGCATTCTGATGTTGGGGTGTGGAGGGTTAAACGAGGGAGGAGTGCTTGAGCTTAACCTACCTCTACATTTATGTCTTGATTCCCTTCTACTTGAAAGTGGTGTGTATCAGTTGCAATGTCATACTCTGGTCCAGTTAATGCCTTAAAATCCTTAGCGGGAAGGATGAAATTATCTTGATATTCAAACGTATTATTCCAACGGATTGCTTCTTGGACACTGTGAAAAGGATACTTCTCGTACCACAGACAGGCACTAAGTGTCGAAATGTATACGGCGGCACCTTTGACTTTGGCACTGTTCTTTACGAATGACACTTTTGCCTTTCGAAGTAGAAAAAAAGACCTTTCGTTTAGTTATCTTTGTGATTAACTTGTGCGCGTTGATTTTCTGATATTGCTCTGCACACAATTGTGCTCGCTCGCTAATGGGTGGAAATAGTGTGCGCTCAAAAACGCTCCAAGGTGGGCTATTATCGCGGGAAAAAATCGAGAAAAGTTGAATGAAAATTCTTTGTTTAATCTTTGTAGTGTACTCGTCTGTGAGAATGGTCACTGGCAGGTGTGTGTTTCACTTCGTGCAACTACGCCTGAAGTGCATTGCATGCAATGCAGCTGGTCCTAAGCCCGGATCAATTGGTTTAGCAGCTCAACCACATAAAACGAGGTCCGCTAAAAGATTCTATAAACAGTCAGTAACTTGAAGGACAGAGCTGGTAAGGGCTTAGCATCGTATTGGCTGAGATGTAACAAATCAATGAGAGCCACAGTTCTTGAGGGTTTTCTAAAGACAACATATTCGGAGATCTTACCTTCCATTTGGATGGTGCAGTCTTCCCTTCGCTGTAAGTGACAAAACAATCCGGATTATACTCATGAATAAATTCATACTTCGACCTCGTGATTACAAGAATTGCTCCGCCAATACCACCAGCATAATTCTGAAGGAAAATCATTTGACTACCCGGGTGCAGAATAATCTGACTGGAGCTTAAAAGAGCAGCCCCTCCAAAGGATCCTGAATTTTTTACGAATTCTAGGGAGCCATTCACGAGAATTCGACCCTCTTGGTACTCTATAGCTCCTGCACCGTGATTCTCTCTGAAGATATTGCGTCCAGTAAATTTTGCGCTCACCCTTTGACTCATAAACGGGCTCGTGTAAGTCAGGTAATTCGCGCAGTGATGCTGTATTATGCAATCAATAAATTCTGGTATAACATTTATAGGAAATCCAACAGGAAGAGTTGTATCGAGACGAACAGCAGCGCTAGCTCGGCCACTATTTCCATCCAAGGTAACGTTTTTAAACTGCATCAGAGATTCAGTAAATGGTCCAAAGTAACTCATTAAAAATACATTTAAACCACCACCTCTTCTAGACCAGTTCTCACTGATAACGCATTGCGTGACACAGATTGCGTTACCTGATACTGCACCCGAAACGGTGAGGCTTATACCGCCTCCGCCTTGCGATGCACGGTTTTTCGAGAAGCTCGATCTTTTTATTTCTATTGAATTCCCTGCAGCCAACTGAGAGGAGGCGTAATATAATCCTCCTCCAAACGTCGCGTGGTTTCGATCAAAAGATGAGTCCTCAACTAGAGCGCTACATGATTTTGCGTCGGACCTGAACACTATCAACAATCCCCCGCCTATCAAGTTCAAGCCAGGAAGAAGCGACAATGGACTGGGAGGAATAAAATTCTCTGACTTGTTCACTGTAGCTGAGTTACCACTGAAGTTTGAGTTTCGGATGACAAGAGTCAAACCAACTGCTTGTTCAAACACAAACCCTGCCCCTCCAGAGACGGACACGGAGGTTGGGATTACCCGACTGTCTAATTCCTTGAGTTTTTGCATGTTGGAGGTGTTATTGACAAAGGAACATTCCTCTATTTTAACACCGCTGTCAAATGCGTTTAAACCAGATCGACTGTTGTTTCGGAATTCACAGTTGTTGAAAGAGATGTTGTTGGACTGCCAAACCATAACGACGGCCGCAACATTGGGAGAGAATTGTTCAAACTCGATGTTCGACACATGAATGTTAAAAGTAGATGTGGCCTTTGCTTCTTGCAACCCTATGGTGATCGCTGATGTATCAAGGCCACGTACTACTGTAGAAACACTGCCAGACGTTATGTAAATATATCTGTCCATTCGAGGCTGTAAAACCTGAACGTTCTCTTGCAAACTGTAGCGTCGGTCTTCAATAGAAAACACAAAGACTGTTTCTTCATTAAAGGTACTTTCGTTTAAAATTTGAAGTGCATAACTGAGAGATCCACAAGGTTTGCTCGCGTTTCGTTGCAGGCAACTTGAATTATCGACGCCATGCTTTTGAGAGATGAAAAGCTCGAGCGACGCACTACCAGATGTAAACATTACCATTAAAAAAGCAAACAGAAACATCTTGAAAAAATTCAGGATATTCCAGTGGATCTTTCAATGGTTACTTTTGATGAAAGGCTTTTGATTTCGTACCCACAAATTACGAAATCTTCAACCAAACATTTCGAACTTTCTTGATGATTCCTGTCCCGTGCTTTAAACTATTTCTCGTCACGCAATACCAACGGAAACAATTGATTTAGAAGGGCTTGTGTGTCTTCTCGGCGATGACGGATCAGAGCGAGCGAGGTCATGTGCTACACGTATGGTTGATTTTATCAACTATCAGGGTATAATATTACGAGTGTTCTGGCGAATGTGTAACTTTTTTTTCAGATTTCACAAAACAGGTGTTATATTTCCACACCCATTAATTTTCACTTATTCTTTTCGTTTTTCCACGCATCATTTCTACACCATTATTTTCACACTTAATGTAAATTAAGGCCCCGGCCAGGAGCTCCTGCCCTAGCGCATTTAGGCTAATTTTCCTGTATTTTGCGAAAAAATTGGGCAACAGTATCGTGAGACAAGCGCACCCGGTGATCTTTTTCCTACCAAATTTTGTCTAGCCTTACCAATCTCCAAAGGCGCTGTCGTCCTGCCTCTGAGCAGGAAAACTTTTGTCAGGCGTAAAATCTGAGAGATTTTTCAGTTTACAAGCCAAGATTTAAAGGAAAACGCCAAGCATATGGCCGCCAAAATATTTTATTTTTACAAGGCAATTAAACAATGAGGGTAGAAGATTTGTACCTCGGGAAGGTGCACGACGATCAGTACTCAGGATACTCAGAAAACAATTATTATGGCTCTCAAGGTTACGTTTAAGCTGAATCTCCAGGTCCAAGTACTGTTCAATTTGTACATTCACGTGATTGACACTTTGTGCTTAACAAACATTTTGCTGATTTTCAGTGCACCCACAATGAACAAATTTTAATTTTGGCGGAAACAAATTTTGGTTTAGCCAAATAAAATTTGTCAGCCTAGTGCGCTCGGGCCCTTACGCCGCCCTACATACATCATGTTTCACGCCCCATCTACCAGTGTGTTTTTTTTTGCGTCGATGTAAACCTTTTCCCAACGATTGTTTCGTGTCTTGTATGTTCCCTCGGCATTTGGAAAGAATTTTTTTTGTCTCGTGGTATCTTCGCATTTACTTTTCCCTTTTTGTAGGTCAGTATATTTTTGTAAAATTTGTTTTTCTGTTCCATAAGAATTTACTTCTTCTTCACATGTTGAGTAGACGTATTTGAGTGAAGCGGGCCCTCGCCACTTCAACAAGATTACAATGCAAGGAAACAACATCAAATCGGTTTCATCTCTTTAAGGTGTTTCTTATGTCGATGCTCTCGCCATCATACCTTTTTTATGCTAGAGAGCTTTGATTCCTCTGATTGCCAGAAAACCTTATCCTTTTTCATCTCCAAAAATGGACTGATTGGCGCGCCAGAAAGAGAAATTCACGCACGGTTCTCCTAGGAGCCCTCGACTCACGTTTTTTTCTCAGAATTTGGCTTTTTGTATTATTTTCCCGAAAAACTGGCAAATATCACCTTGCGTGTCTAAATGCATTGTGGTTAGATCGTTGATCCATTTAGGACTTCAAAAGAGTGAGAAAAAACAGATTTCCGTTTGTTGTGTCATTGGTGTATTGTTAATGAGATAATATATAATGAAATAAAGATTCTGGAGCTGAGCCCATTACAATCCAACAGTTTTCGCTTCATCTGTGCATGACATTGAACTTTTTAACTCGTTTCTCGATTTCTCTTCGCAACTAAACCCAGAGGAGACTTCAAGCACGAAAAAGGTTGAGTCTGCTATATCTAGGGTCAGTTTAAACATGACATGCGTGAACGCCTGGTTGAATTTTGCCGGATGTGTCAAAAAGTGGTCAGTTTGAATTATTTATCCCTCCGATAAGTATTCTAATTTTAGCTCATTCGCCGCTTGTTAATGCTCAAGTAAAGCCCACAAACGAGAAAACAGAGCTTGGCGATCCGGTTCCGGCAGGAGGCTTGCGATCAACGCCTTGATGCCCCTGTACGCAGTTAAGGAGAATGACTGAAAAACTCCAAGACTGGGGAGATTTTGTAAACCGTTACACGGCACATTCATCGCGGCATTCAAGCCCGGAAAGAGAGGTAGACTTTGGAGATATGAGGCTCACTCCTTCGCCAATCTCACCTGTGTTTAGTACAGCTGATAAGCAGTTCTGTAGACGAGATAACATCGATCAGTGTATCGCCTATTTGAACCAGGTTTGTAGATGGCGTGAGTTGTACTTTCGATTCTTGTTTTCGTGTTGTGGTTTCGCATTCAGTCCATATACATTAGCTTCATTATTGCTTCTATTGTACGCTTTCTAAGTTTTCTTTCATTATGTGAATGATATTAAGACGTCAATTGGCGAAGGGTTACCGCTAAATTGTTCTCAAGGTTCCACAAAACATTTATCTTACAAGATTTCGTACTTTTTATTTTAGTTGTTTTTTCGCTTTTTCTTGTATTTCACCCATGCGTATGTTTTACCTCGGTAAGATTAAATTTCCCAGTTCTTGAAGCAAAGTACCATATCAGATGATATTTGTTTATTCTTAGCGACCACAATTCGTGCCATTACATGTTTCTCTGGCGTAGTTTTTGTGGTTAAATTTTAAAAAGGCAAAATTAAAAGATTAGGATGATTTTAAATGTTTCATTTCTTGTTTTTTTCTCAGCTTGAATTGTGATCATCTCCTTTTGTTTCCTTCAGCAAACAGTTAAATAACTAATGAGATGTCAATATTTTGGTCTGAAGTCTTTGACAATTCTTAAGTTTCAGCTCTCTGAAGCAAACTTTGGATTTGGTTAGCTGAAAAGGTTTTGAAAACGAAATGGGTGTCTTGAGTCAAGATCTAAGATTATCAGGCTTCTCAGTAATTTACCGAAAGCAGCAAACATTTCTATTTGTTTTTCAAATGATTAAGTTTTAAAATTTTGAAATGTGTCCAACAGACAATACAAGTGTATACTGAAGCTGTTATGGATTGATTCAAGATAAAATGAATTTTTCCCCTTACTAAGTCTAACCTCAGCCTGAAGATATGTCTTTTTAATTGTTTTGCGACATACAGATGAGTGAACTCATTTAAATGTCAAATTTAAAATTCTTCTTAATGTTAATTTTTTTTATTGTTCGTGTCCAATGCATGAATTACATACACTAGTCAGAATATTGTAAGAGATTTAAAAATATTACCTCTGAGATACAAGAACAAAAACTTTTGTAGCTTGCAAATGCCTTTGAATTGTAATGTGATTAAGTATACGTGACAGGATATATTTATATACCTAGTTGGAGAAATTGAAGGAAAGTGCTGTCTGTTTATGCATGGTTGTCTCTCTTGAGAGCAATTTAATAACTGACCTATCTTTGTTTGACAGCAATATTAGAAATTCAAAGCAGCAATATTAGTTACAAAAATTTTATTCCAATTAATACTTCACTTTGAATCTATGTTATTTCACTTTTTTCATAATTGCATCATACATGTGGTTAGCAGTGGGGGAGAAAAAAAAAAGACAAACCTTGAAGCCTCTTATAGGCTGCACATGTACATGGCAACGTTGAAATATTTGTTGACGTGTCATGCATGAAATACCTCTCACTGAATATGTTTCTTGCTGCACATGGATAAGGTAAAAAAATTAGCTTTTAAGTTGGCGTCAAGAGAAATGGTCTAACCCATAACTTATGAAGGGTATGGACCAATTATGCAATCAGTGCTCAAAAAATTTGCAAAATGTGTTGTATAGAGGGTAAGCTAGAGACAAGTATTGTGTGGTCAAGCAATAAATATGTGTTTGTTTTCCTTAATAATTATACAGATGGGTAAATATTTAATTGTTTGTCTCTTGATATTGAGTCACTGTCATGCATCTAAGCAATATTATGACCCATACATTGTACTGCTAGTATTTTTTTTTCAGGAAACAAGTTCCAATTTTTTTATAAATTTTCATGCAAGTTTCACCCGTTTGCTCCTAAAATCTCATAAATAATTTTTCTTACTGTCTACTGTACCACTTGTACAATTCTATGATGTTAGTGTGGAGAATTTGGGATTGGATCACTGAGAAATCCTCTTGTTGATGTTTTTCTTTTTTTCCTTTTACTTGTCTGCTTGATATTGTATGATATTGTAAGGAGAAATTCTGTCTTGGTCACTCATGGGAGCTAAAGGGTTAGCAAATAAATTCTTAGTTACTATGCAACTGTTCAGTCATATATCACTAACAATGTCAAAATGTGTTTTTATCTTTCTCTAGGAACTGAGTGTTCTTGGCTTTTCCTCACTATTTACACCTTCTCGCAATGGACATGGACCTCCAGATACATTTGATATTGTAAAATTGGTAAACAGCACCTATGAACTCTTGCAACAGCAACAAAGAAATATAAAACAACTAACAGATCTTGAGCAGAAGTGAGTACAATGCTGACCTTATATTAGAATTTATGTTGTGCATTTAGATGTGTTCAGTGGGTCATGCCCCATTATATTTATATACCAGATTAGTTGGTATCATTGTACAGTATGCAACTTTCCTCCAATATGCCTCCTTTTTTTTTAAGGATTCTTCGATCTGAGTGTGATAATGAGCACCTTGTACAGACGCAGAAAAGGCTTAAGGTACAACATTAAATGCATGCACATTGAATTGGAATTGTTATGATAATAATCTTAATTAACCCTTTCACTCCAAAATTCTCATTTGTAGTCAATTCTCTGCCGTGCAATTCCGATGATGTTAGTTTAGGGAACTTGGTGTTGAATCAACTAATAATCTGAAAATTGATATTTTTCATTATTCTCATCACTTGTCTGCTTGATTTTGTATTGTACTGTAAGAAGAAATTCTGTTGTGGTCACTCATGGGATATAAAGGTCTAAATATAAATTGATGTGCAAAAATCATTTGATTGTTTTCAATTATTGTATTTAGAATATTTCAAACAGTTATAGATAATTAGCATTTATGATAAGCTGTTGAATTTCATGAAAATCATTTGAAATTTATATCTTTATTGTTGTTCTTGAATAGTCCTTGCTTTTATTTTAATTTTCTTTTTTTTTTTAAATTTATTATAAAGATATGGTACTTTAGCTGTAGATATATAACATGTTTGAAATCTGATCAGGGAGATACTTTTTGCTCTAATTTATTCATTAAGCAACTTAATAGTTTTACATAATTTCCAATTGACCTGTTCATGTGCTTCAAATTTTATTTGTTTCTTTGTCTAGGAGCAGCTAGAGTCAGCCCAGAGAGAGATTGCTGTCAGAAATGAGAGAGAAAGACAACTTCAAGGAAAACTTGTAAAGGCAAAAGAAGATCTTAAATCAGAGAGAGAGGAAGTAAGCAATCCATACACTGTACATGCCGAACATTTTCTTCATGATTTTCAAATCTGCTTGTGATAGTGATTTTCCCAGTTATTAAGAACCTGGTATGGCTGAAAGTGATTTTCATCCTGGTTACAGGATGAGATAAGCTGTTAGTTGAACTTCTAACTGCCTTTCAAACTAAGAACTGGATTAATGCCACCTCTTCCGACCAGCTAATGCTACATGACTATTTTATTTTTATTCTAAATTTAAAACTGTAATTTGGTGTGGAACATGTATTAGTCTGTACATGTAGATTACACTCAAACATTCCTTGCTAGATGTTATTGCTATTATGAAGGGATAGATTAAAAAAAAAAAAAAAAGATCATCAATAGGGTTTAGACTAAGAGCTAAAAACTCTTTGTTTGCTTATAAGAAAATTTTTTATCAGAGAATTCCTTTTTACCTTTTACCTTTTACCTTTACTCCTCTTGCAGTTTCATTGTGTACAATTTATTGTATGGTCATATGAATGTATTAGAGATAACCTTCTGTCACGTATTAACATTATTAACCCTTTGACTCCCAAAAGTGATTAATATGTAACTTCTCCCTATAAAATCTAAACATTAGTCAGCAAACAGGTCATGAGAATATTCAAACTTATCAGGTAGAAGTTGTTATCTTGATCTAACACCAAATTCTTGTAACTTATTTACAAGGAAATGTGTAGCAGCTAGAGGGGAGAGTTAACAATCAGGTCATAGGAGTTGAAGGGTTAAGAGTTACATCAGATCATGAATCAAGAGTTTATTCTGCAAGTTGCTGCAATTATCTTACTACATGTATTTGATTATTTATTTTACAGTTAAAGAAAACCAGAGCCAATTCACTTCACTTGCAAAAACAGTTTGACCATGAGACAAGAAAAAAAGAAAGAGAACTAAGTAAACTCAAGGAAAGGATTCATCAACTCCTTACAGACAAAAACCAGGAAAAGAAAGTTGGCTTGGACATCTTAAATTTAATAAACAGACCTGCTGGAGCACAACGTGCAATGTGGAAGACTGGATCTGCAAAGTAGGGAGGATTTTTGAAACAATTTGATATTTAAATTTCATACAGGTCATATACTGTTTTTTGTCTTTGAAATTAGGAAACTTTTCTTTAGTAAGCCTTTTACCATGTTTGTAGAGGTGAAAATACTCAGACATGCATCTACATGATACATGTATGTATTTTGCATGACTTACAGCTGTATATGAGAATATTCATGTGAGATACATATTATGTGCATGTGCAGGTAAGTAAGAAAGTGCAGTGTGAGTAAGAGACTTGGTGTTTTGAGGGTAACACTCAACAGTGATTAAATCAACTAACAAACTTGTGGTCCTCAAAAGTAAAATACTTTTCAATTCAATCAAAACACTATTACCTAATGAAGGTTAAAATTTTTTAAAATTAGTTGCGGACCGATATATCAAAAAATTGGTTAAGATTGTTAAAAATAGTTGATAAAAATGAAGATGCAATATTAAGAATTATCTACTCATACCAATTCATTCCAAGCTGGTGATTAACTATGGGCAAGATTTGTGTCTGAGGGTTGTAACCTCTACAAACATGGTAAAAGGCTTGCAAAAAAGTGGCCTATTTTCAAAGAAAAATAACATCATAGGAACTGCAGGACTTATGTGTAGTTTTCTACATGGTTATGAAAATTCTCTGCACATTTCTTTTTTCTTATCTTACAATGAGTACTTTTTTCACTTTCTTTTTGAAAGAAATGAGGAAGAAATGTATAGAATGCTCATCACAAATTATGAAGAAAGAGAAAAGGTATATCTTTATGTAGTCTGATGTATGTTTTCTTCCAAACTAAGAGAAAGTGTACATGTAATTTATAGTGTCTGCTCCACTCTTGAGGAAAAGAACATAATGGAGCTTTTTCAATGTGCTTGTACACTGTTGCTGAATATTCCATTAACCCTTTAACCCCCAAGAGTGACTAGCATCTAATTTCTCCTCACAACATCACCCCTGAATCAAACATTAAGGTAAGGAGAATAAAGAAAATAATCACCAACTGAAGAAACTCATGATTGTAAAACAAATTCTCCTTGTCAGCACCTTAGGAAATGTATAGAGAATGGTATGGAGAATATTGATACCAATGTTTGGGTGTAAAGGGTCAATAAGGATTTGCAGTTAAATACTAAAATAATTTGTCTTAACATTCAAATTCAGGAACTCATGGTGGAAAATAATGATATGAGGGAAACCCTTAAAAGCATGCAGGCTGAGTTAATAAAATTGCTGAATCAGCAGAATGAAGATTATGAAAGCAACACAGAGGTTGGTATTTAATTTAAATGTACAAACTGTTTGCAAGAATTTTTCATTTACATCTACCACTGACAATATTTACTTTTTACAGTATGGTGTATAATTTAGTTATGCCTTGTTATGCTTCCTACAGGCAAACAAACTTTTTTTTTGTTACATGTAGACTTAGTGATATAGGTAACCACTGGAGAAAAGGCAGGCATATATCGAAAAGATAACTTGAAATAAAGTTGTTGTATTTGAAAACAGTGTTGGGAGTAAAGGATGTGAATCTGCTGTCCCCTTGTTCTGGTACCAGTACCTGGATCCTGCCCCTTCTCTAAAAGGAATCTTCTCAGAGCCACCACTGACATGTTTGCTCTCTAAGATTCAATCTTGTTTGTTTTCATTAACATTTATAGGTTGGTGAAATCAGTGAGTCAGGATCAGTTGAGGAATTATCAACAGGACATTTCAATATGCCATATGACATGGTTAGAGAGGGTATGTCAGTCCATTTAGTATCAAAATTTTGGGAATGTTTTTGCATCAGCACTTACTTTGTAGCTGCATTTTCTTCTGTAAAGTATGTATTGATTACGTTTAAGATTATAGTTTTCTTACATGGGTCACCTATGAAAACTGTCAAAAGTTTGATTTATGTCTTCAAATATAAAGACATTTATTAACCCATCCGTTCCTAAGAGTGACCTATGGGTAACTTCTCTTTGCGGTGTCAGTACATTCTCAAGCAGCAAGATGATAAGAATAAATAATTCTTTCAGTGTAAGTTTTAAAAAAAATGATAACAGATGTGAAGGATAATTGACTTTGAAATCTTGGGAGTGAAGGGGCTTAGTGAAGGTGCTTTATTTTAAATAAATCAGAGCACAATGTCTTTTACAGGAATTGAAAGTAGTTTAAGAGAAAAATGGAGATTGCTGAAGTCAAGGTTAGAGGAAGCAAACAAAGGCTCTTCAAATGGTAAGAAAAGACATTTGTAGACTCCCAAGAATAAAGTGAAGAACTTTGTCTTAGTTTACTTTAAATCTGCTTTATGCACTAGAACCCTCTTCCCCTAAAGCAGAGGAAATTTCAAGGTTGGAAAGGCAGTTGGAGAATTACAGACATGTTGTGGAACAACAGGAACAACTTATAGAAGTATGTGAAAATGGTTGCTTATAATGTATTGTTTAACCTGGGAGATACAATGGTCCAATGGTTTGTGCACTGGACTCTGGGCCAAGATGTCCTGGTTTGACCTTTAACTCCCAAGATCTCATTAGTGATTCTCTTTGCTGTCTGCCATACAATTCTTATGATTTCAATTTGGAGAATTTGGTATTGCTTGATAGTGTATCGATAATGTAAGGAGAAATTTTCTCTTAGTCACTCACAGGGGGTAAAAGATTAAGACCTGAAATTGTGTTGTTCTTGGGCAAAACACTCATTACTTTCATCTCTCTACCTAGGAGTATTGACAAGTGCTGATGAATTGTCAGGGAAGCCTGATGAAATTTTTTTGTTTTTTTGTTTTTTTGTTTTTTTTTTGGGGGGGGGGGGTAACCTTGCAATGGAAAAACATCCTTTCCAGGGGGGAGTAGAAATACTTCTAGTAGCTTCATGCTAAGGAAACTGGGATTAGCTCTGGCTGGATGGGCC